ACGATTTGAATCGATAATGGCCTTGATATGGGTTTCATCCACTTCGACTGGGCGGCCAGATCGTTGTGAATTTTTCAGTGAAAAATCACCGGAACGAAATCTTTCAAACCAATTTCGACACTGCCTTTCTTTTAAGGCTTCATCTCCATATACGGCACATAACTTCTTTTGTGCTTGCGATGCGTTCTTGCCTTGTCGGAAGTAATACAATAAAATGTGTCGGAAGTGCACGTCCTGTTCTTTCATTTTTAAATTGGGATAAAAACAAAACTAAAGAACTAAACAAAAAAAAATTGTTACTAATTAACCTAGAAGCCCATACAGTAAGAAAACAATATATAGGTTAGATGCTCTGGCCATGTTAACAAAACAAAAGAAAGTATAGAGTGAATCCGTCAACAAAAACGGCAATGACTTAGTTGCCAACCCAATACAAACGGATAGCTCAGGTAAGTAAAAGGCAAACTTAATTAACAATTCTTGCTGTCCAATTCCAATTATATAAAAAAGAGCGTCTTTCATATAAAGGCTACCTGCTATTTTAATCATTATATGAAGTCAATAGAAACTCAAGTATTTATTTAGCCAAGAGAAAGCAAATAATAATTATGCATAATAATATTTTCACCTGGGGTGTGCGATAGACTTACCTCCACGTGGTGCACCCTGGGCAACGTATACTCATACGGCAAAAAAGTCTATTAATCGACAGTTGACTTCCGACTTCAAACTACCATGACCCCACTGTATGTTATATTCAACCACTTCTACAGTACTCATCTTACCTTTTCTCTGCCCTCAAGCGATATCTCGAGAAAAATTAACAACATATGAAACTCATGATCCATTTTTTTGTTTACATAGCTCATGATTGTATAGCCCAGCGATTTACATTTTGGGTGATTAATTTTTTTACATGAAAATGCAACAGCTGCTTAAAGTTTGAAAAATGATACCTGAATGTAAGCAACTTTGTGAACAATCCATGAAATTTACTGACCCATCGAAATCGATATTTAGTTTAGTTGCACCTGTTTTATCGGTAAATCCAGTTGATCCACTTCACTGCATATTTTATCCAATCGGAGTTTTCATGGTCTTTCTTTTAAAACCCGTCCCACGGTATAGAGAAGGGATTTTTAGATACGGATTAACATGGGATTTGAAATATTTCTTTTTATTTTTTATCATATTAGCTCGAACTCGTTGTTTTATTTATGATACTTATTATGGTAAATTAGTTTACCATTAATCATTTGTCCAGTTGATCAATCGCTTTCTGAATCTATCTGTTGATTTGAATGTTATGAATTCTAGCCATTTTAAGAGTGGGTAAGGTGAAATGGGTAGAATTCCTCTCAACTGCATCGATTCGTATAAAAGTGTTACTGCATTCAACCACAAAAAATGAAACTGTTTAACCGGAAGGAAACATTTTTATATGTCTAAGAATATAAATAAAAGAATAAGCTCATTGACGAACAGAACGTGCACAAAAAAACGACAACAGTTTACTTAAACAATGTGAGTTTAGTAAACACAGAAACGTTAATTACTTAGTTCATGTCAAATCAAAATGTATCGTATTAAATGAAATAGAAGGCAGGTTTTTACTTGATGAAAAATATGATAATAGTAAATAGTTTGAAAATATTTAATGAGTTGTAAATTGGAAGAAGAGAACGTTGGATATAAAAATGAAGTCTTGAAGCAAGGGTGCTGCAACTATTGGGCCGTGAATTGATCCAAGATTACTTTGGTTCTTCAAACCAAAGTACCAGTTGGTGAGAAGGTGATACGACGAAGTAAATGTTTCGCTAAGACACAAATTATGGAGATAAATAAAGTAGAACTTCGCATCAGAAGAGAGGGTGATTGGCTGGAAATGCTAATCCGCGGAAATAAATGAAACCGGGGAACGCGACTTACTCTACTACGATAATATGAGAAACAAAGGCGTAATTATAATGAGGGAACCAATGCATTCAAGGAGACATATTGGATAAAACTGTATGCAAGCTTAATAATGATCTGGGGACCAAACGTGCCATAGGAATAGGTGGTAGTTTTACTTCCGCTTCAGTGACCGAAGGGTCTTGAGACTTGCTTGTTATAATCGAATTTGCAAAAACGGGTTGGTTAACATTGATCAACGGAAGTACCAGATTCTCTGTCAGTTGGAAGGATTGGGATTGGATACTATAAGCGATTCTTTTTTTCTAACATTGAATTTTCGAACTGGGGTTCATGAAAGTACGAAAAAAAGAAACACGCTTTTTCAAATTGGTCTATATTTTGTAATTGATATTTATTTAATTTTTTTTCTATTTAAATGACAGAAGTGGTCATAGAAGGTAGTGCTCTTTTAGGTCCAACAAAAATGGGATACTGGCATTTCCTTTCCCAAACAAATTCGCCCATTTTCATTCTGTCTGCTTGCCAATGGACCCAATCCCTAAACTCCATCCTTGTAAAGGAACGAGAATATATAAAAATATATTTGACCTAATCTGAACAATTATGATATGTAGCGGACAGAACCGGCGAAGCTTGGAAAATCAAGAACTACTTTTTGAGTAATATGTTAAGTACTAAAAAGAGGATTTATTTAAATAGATAATAATAAGAGTGACAACGGAAGTGAATAGTGATCAAAGTTGGACTGAAGTTGGAGAATTCACCAATATGTCTGAGTTAAAAAGAAAATTAAGAAATAAATGGGAAGTCATCTATCAATTCAAAGAGTGAAATTGCAATCTCACTTCGTTGTAACATTGGGGTAGTAGTTTAGGTTGTGTTGGGAAAAGGAGCCTTGAATGTACATCATAAATGCAAGTAGAAGAGAAAATCTAAAATCTGTACTGGTTTTTCTATCCTTTAATAAAAATTCATTATTAATTAAAAACGTGAGTAAAATTTGATGAGAGCTTCTATGTAAAACTTAATTTAGTTCTTATTATTCTACTCATGGGGTGTGCGATAGACTCACCTTCACGTGGTGCACCCTGGGCAACGTACACTCATACGGCAAAAAAGTCTATTATTCGGCAGTTGGCTTCTGACTTCAAACTACCAAGACCCCACTGCATTTCATATTCGACCACTTCTACAGTACTCACCTTACCTTTTTCTACCTTTGTGTCTGTCTGTCTCTTTTACGTCTGTGAATCATTATTCTGTCCCCCTCTCGACGTTTTGCCACTTTGAAGTTTATCTTCCTTTCTGTGAAGCCTGAAGTCAACTAAAGGACTAATGATACCTATCATAACGCCTGCTATTTGAAATAAAAAAAAATTATTCTACTCATATCTTCACTTATATAAGAAAACGAGGTAATTGAAGTTGACAAGCGTATATATATTTACAGTATTCACACAGTACTCACCTTACCTTTTTCTCTATCTTCGTTTCTGTCTGTCGCTTTACATCTGTGAATCACTCTTCTGTTCCCCACTCTAGATGTTTTGTGACTGTATCTGTTCCTCCCATCTGGGAAGTCCAAAGTGAACTAAAGGGCTAATTATAACTAGCATAGAGCCTGCTATTTAGTTCGACTCTTTTAATAAAGAATGAACTAATTTAGTAGCTCAATTTTTGAAAGTACGTCCTGCAATGAAAGATAATATAATTAGGTTGGCCTTATCTTGGGTAACAAGAATAACTTTTATTGTTTGTCAAAAAGGCTTCTTCTTTCGTCTGTATCTGTCAAGTCCTTTAATGTCTCTCAAATTGGGCATCAACGTGCATCTTCTGCAGTAAATACAACCACGCATACTGCTTATCAATGACCGCCAGTTTAAGCACGTCTTGAATAGATTTGATAGATATGTCCTCTACTAACGTTTTTAAAACATTTCACCGCCTCATGCAAACTAGGAGGCTAGCCAAGATGATATATTCCAAATTGCTGTGATAAATTTATGATATTACTCGAAGGTTATTATACCACCGCAGCACCACCCCCACTTAAACGCTTTATTGTTGAGCAATATTCCTATTGGTTCCCGACCTTCATTAGGGCGCTAGCATTGAATTATCGATTGATCTCCTATGGCGCAATTCTGAACGCTAGCCATGTAACGTAATTCCATCCCCCCCCCCCACCCCACCGCGTTAACAGCAGCATAATTACCCACTCATTTTCTCCTTGCAGACCTTCACGCCATATAAACAACTTTGCACATGACCACTTGGATGGCAGCTGGTGGCCAACATCCTGAAGTCTATTACACCACTTGTCCATCTCAATTCATGTCCATTTGTTTCGAGAAAAAATTATTTCATCCTAGTAACTTGAATCATTAAGGTAATAGAAGTAGCTTTGACAAGGATAGGGTTTACCAAATCGTGTTTCATTCACTTTGTTGGTAATACAAAATATTTGAACAATTATAATGGCCAAATTATGGCAATTCAGTATACTACTCTCCGCAGCCTCTGGAGCTATTCCAAATGCGAAAAAAACAAATCGATACCAACTGGAACTCAAAAAGAAAGCCCTTTTGTTGTTTTTGAGGAAAAAAACTGTACTTCTCTTCATTCGGTACAAGCCAAAGCAAAAACAATTTTAATAGTAATAGAGGAGGGGAAGGGGTGGGGCGGGGTGTGGGAGATGATGAAGAATAAAGGAAAAAGGGACGCAAGGAGACAGAAAGGAAAAGTTGAGACAAACCCAACAGTAGGAAAGAGGAGTTTGAACCAAGATAGATAGGCAAAGTGCTAGCAATAAAATTGAACCCCAATGATATATTAACTATAATGATTGGTTATTATTATTATTATTATCATAAAGCGTGATTTTATCTTGCATTTAGCAAAACACTCAACACAAACAGAGAGCATAGGTGGGAAAGCAAGAGAGAGGGGAGATAGCAGAGGGAGAAAAGAGTAGCATGAGAAACAAAATGTGCATGGTTTCTAAATGTGAGGAAGGATTGTGGGAAGAAATTCGAGTGCGATTCGGATGCGACCTTAATGATAAATCAACGTCTTCTTCCACATTACAAGTACAGGAGAATGTTAAGTAACTAAAGAGAGAGAGGGGGAGAGAGAGAAAAAAGAATGAATTAGTGACCACCAAAGTCGAGAAATGAGTGAGAAAGTTCGATTATTAATTGCTTACCTCTGGACCTCCATAGGACTTGTTAGTACTCATAACCTCGAAGGCATTTCTCAGACGAGCACAAAGGATGACATAGTCGTCAAATCGAAGAATTCTATCTCTGTTCGTGAATCTCAGGACCGCACTTGTGAGAGTAGCGTTATCAATATGGTAACCTATAAAAAAGAAAAGAAAAAGGATATTGCAAAAAAAAATTCAAGAGTGCCTCTTTGTTAGACAATCCTAAGATTAAGTTAATTACCAATACAGTTGAGAGCATTTCGAAGCTCAAATGTGCTCATAGTACCACTCTTATCGACATCGAACTTCTGGAAAACTCTCTACAACATTTAAAAAAACATGCCAAAAGTTAACAACTTAATTACTAATGAGGGAGAGGGGGAAGGGGGGGGATCCAGGTAATAGCTTAGTGGTTTACCTTCCAATGACGCAAGATCTCCCAAAGAGATCTGAATTCCTCGAATTCCAGGCTACCGGATCGATCGACCTAAACGAGAAGAGAATTCCATTCGTAGATAAATAAATAGTTATATGCCCGATAGAACTTAAGTGAGCTAGGTCATGTGTGGGTGATTAACTTTATACAGACTTGAGCAAAACATAGACTTACATCCATCATAGAAATGAGCGAACGGGAAGCCTCCGCACTGAAGCCCTCAAATTCAAAGTCTGTAAGTGAGAAAATAACAAGGCACTGAGCAGATGACAGAAATATAATCACCCATAAATCGCAAAAAAATAATAGTAATTTTTTTATGAGGAAGGTTAACGAAGCGCGTCTCCTAGTAAATAGAAAAAAACAGCAACAACAACAAAATACAACGAAGGGGTTAGTCATGCATATAGGATAATTTCCTTCTAATCCCATGCAGTGCACGAATGGGATAACCCGAATGAAATGTCCTCCGGGAAAATTCGGCATTATTATTATTATTACTATTAATATTAGAGGATCTAATTAATGTGCTTAACGAAAACTAATATCGACTTTATGAAAGTGATGTTGTTAGGAGTTATCGTGAGGCATTTGACAAACTTATCTAACGCTAGAAAGGTAAATAGAGAGAAGACAGTGGTAATTGGAGTTTGAAATAGTGTAAAGGGAAATTTTTCACACTTCCCAATTAAAGAGCCCGTTCGACCGGTAGGTGCAATCAGACATACAAATGCAATTAACCATGCAGACGTGAAATTAGAGGTTTAGAGAAAGGTTAGAAACACCTCGAAACCCAAGCACAATGAGAGGGAAAATGGTGTTGAAAGATTGGGAGGAGAGGGGGGGGGGGAGGAGGGCTATGAAAGAAAAAAGCTAAATCGCACCCTTATTATTTCCAGCAGCGTGGCCATTACTCTTAGCAGTTGCAGGCCCATTCTCTTCAACCTCTCCTTTTTTGCCAAGGCCACAGCACAGGCAGCAACTGCACCATTTAGAAGATTTCTGAGGTTGTGCCGGCGCTGGCTTATTATCGGCCGCCCCTTGGACATCACGACCATCGTTGAGTTCTGGAAATAACAGGTAACACAGGCTGAATCAATTGGTGCTTTGCCCCAAGAGTGGCACGCACAAGCGTTACGCTCGAGAGAAGCATCCACTTTCCGCCTTTCCTTCACCTTCACCTTCATCCTCTCATCCCTTATCCAATTACATTCCAACACCATCACCACCACCACCATCACTTACATACAACTAATTTGGCCTTCAATAAAGGGAAAGTGATAGGGGTAAAGCAAGGGAAGTTGGTTACTTGAATAGATGGTATATGGGAGAGGGGGGTGTCTTAATGAATGAGCGATCATACACAGACACTACAACACCGCGAAGATAAGCTGTTAATTAACAAAATAAGTCAGAAAGATGGTGAGAGGGAATTCGAACGGGTTATTAGAACGGAGGGTCAAAGCGGAAGTCTTGCAGTCCTATTTTATCACGAGTGTTAGCCAAGCAGGACCATTTTCCTAGACAGAGCAGGACTGGATATGTTCTTCAACCTACTACAATCTTTGCCCATCAATACTGGGTCGAAAATGCTACCTGACACAAACTTTGTTAATTCAGTAGACTTCGAAATGAATAAAATGAAGTTAGAGTGGACGATCAATTAACCAAAGAAAAAAAGTAAAACTCTGCCAAAGCTACTTCACAGATCTCTTCAGCTAAGTAGTTTGCCAACGAGAACTAGAAGCAAATCTTATTTTGCGCAGAAAAACATAAACAACACAGTACTTATTCCGTACGTTCTGAACCGATTCAAGTTCTGACCGTGTACTTTATTCACCAAGGCCACGAAGCGGGGTCATTATTAATTTCCCCCTTGGTTAGTTTTTCGTAGTACATATATGCAGTGTTTGTTTTAGTAGTACACATGCCATGTTAAAAGTGAAACGAGGAAAAAACAGTCCTCTCAGCAAGCGAGTAATACCTTCGTGCCAGTAACCACAACAGAAATACACACAAGTCGACATGGCAGAACAAGGGAGAGAGGGCATAAGCGCGCAAAGCTTCTTTAGAGGTTTGGGCATGCAACTCCTGCTTGATTTGTATGTTTCCAAGTGGTTCAAATAATTATCAACCAAGGAATAAAAGCATGGAAACAGAGCAAAAATAAACAGGTGACACAATACAACAGGATGGACAAAGAGCTCGCTAATGATATATATATATATATATATATGTAGACAAACAGCAAAACCGGATTTGTTAGGAAATAGATCGAGCATTCGGATGGCAATGAGATGGGAAAGATGGGTAGATGGTTGATGTGTTTGCTGGTTGGACAGAGGAGGTGAGGATGCGGAAGGTAAAGAAGCAGAAAGTTGGGTGGATGAGTCCCCTGCTGAAACGACACTGCGCGCGCTTAAAGTGCCGTGATTAAAGGGGAGGGGGGGGGGGAGTGTGGATCACAGTGACTTTGATAAGTACTGCAGCCAACTCACCTTTAGCAAAGGCCACATTGAGAATATCGACCATTTCATCAGCAGTGACCTCTCCATCAGGTCCTTTAACCTTGTCAAATGCATTCCTAAGGGCCCTCACTTGAGAGTCAGTAAGGGGTTCAGGCAACAGTTCACTCTAAAATAAACAGAGGGGGAAAACAATGAGTAATTCCATTTTCTTCTAAAACATTTCCACTCAAAGTCTACATGCGTGTTAGGTGAATTTGAGGGAAGAAAGGAAAAGGGGAGACTGGGATAATTGAGAATCAAATAGTCTTGCTCGTTATTTCAGTAATTGCTTGTTGATTTGAACAGAACATATAAGTATTACTCTCATGCTGACGACATAAGATATGCTTGCGGCATGCGAAAATTTACATTTACCTCGATCACTACTGTGGTCTTCCCTTTAAGTTGAAACTCAATTTCGTTTATTTTATTTGTTTGTTCAACTAATAATAGGAAATTGTGAAGCTAACTAATCAACTTACCCTACTGTTCAATAAAAGAGGCTATTTAAACATAAAGCTACGCTGGCTTTCATAGAGCATTCTTTGTATTGACAGTACAGAGCAAGACTACAGAAGATTATTTTAGCACTGAACTGATTGTCAATACAAATCCTTTCAGTAATCTCCCTTTTCCTCTAAACCCCGAATTAAAAAGGTCAAAGATAAATGAATAAACGTCTATACAATAAGATTTAATGTAAATCTACACCACAAAAGGTAAAACGTGTTGAACTGTTAACACTTCAAAATTAACACACACAAAAAAAACTGATTTCCGAGTTTGCAAACTTACGCTCATCTGATTGGACATTGGTATGAAATAAATATTGATTGGTTAATTTTAATATGCAAGCAAAACAAAATTGAAGCCCGTTTTAAATAAATATCGATTATTGGATATCAGTGAATAAACATACTAATTGGTGGATTCAGCAAACTTACTTACAGGGAATATAGATTTATAATTAGTGCTTTAAAGTTAGGAAACATGCATGCGTCTGCTGTCTTTCATTTCTACGAACGCGGCACACAAGACTTTGGCTTCACGAACGAAACTCAAAAATAGTACTTTCACAGCCAACATTTGAACAATTAAAGCGGCAAATAATTCCAATCGTGAATTTTACGACAGCCCTTACTCCTTCTGGCGACCATAAACTTACCGTTTGTCCACCAGGTGTTTTGGGAACCTTTTAGAAATATGCACGAAGGAATTAGATAAAGAAGGCAAAAAATTGAGATTTAAAGCCAGTTCATTGCCTGCTGAGAAAAATCAGACTCAAAGCGCGATAGAAAAAGCATACATCGTCGAATCACATTACACGAGCAGTAGAAAATAGAGCAACGGTCGGACTTGCTTGAACACAGATAAGAGAGCGTAAATACATTATAAAATAACCTCCTCTCCACAACGACAACAATGTATCATTTACGATTAGTAGATTAATATTAGTATTAGTAGTAGTGGGAATAATTTCATAAAATAAAGCTATAAATAGAGAAGAAAGCAGTGGTGGCAATTTGCTAAAACTTACGACAGGTAAAATCGGTTTCGGTGTCTATACACATATTAAGGTAAAAGCATTAGAGAAATGCCAAATAGGATAGCAATTGATTAACTTCGGTAAGCATGCTCTAATGGGCTACTCAGCTCCCATTGACCGACTGGTCGATCAGAAAATTAACAGTCTATGCATGCATGCCAAGTAAACGAGAGATCAGTTAAAATCAAGCACGAAGCACAACAACAACCTAGGCCAAGCAGCACTCACCTTGGCTATTTCCTAAAAAAACGTAAATCAAACGCAAAAATAGGTAGAAAATGATTTTAGAAGATCAAAAGTCCCCAATGACTCAGTGAAAAACTTATGGATCTATCTAGCGCCTTGGCAGTTGACTAGAAGAGGATCAGACAACATTATGCATGTGGCATAAGGAAGGTATTCAGTGACCACTGGTAATCTGATTCGTAGCTTGAGTCTCGGCTTTCTTTTCCAAGCTCATTGTACTAGTTTGACGAATTGTACATCAATAGCAGTTCTCATAAATAAAAAAATAATCTAGCCTTGTTTGTGGAATTTTAGAGTGCTTAGGCTAGTCCAAATGCGGTTAATTAGCTTAGTTAAGGTGATCTCCGGGTGTGCATAAATTGCTATTAGAAATGATTAGAAATACAAATTCTTACCTCCGGAGTATCTACGCCAACAGTATCATCCATTTCTCTAAAAGAAAATGGAAAAAATTTGGTTAAAGATCAGTTTCCCTAAAAGCTAGTAAGCATTATGTAAGTAGAACCTACTCAGCCGTGCTAGCTTTCTCAGAGAAGATACGCAGAACGAAATCGGCACGCTCGTTTCTGTTGAAAGTTGACGGAACAACGACGTATTTACCAGGTGGCAAGCGGAAACGACCTGTGACCTCACGAGTATTGATAAAGGCGGGTGAGCGAGCCACTGCGGCGTTATACTTGAAGAAGTCCATATCTAGCGGACCTTCATGATTATCTTTCAACTAAAATTGAAAGTATAGTGAGTTGGGAAATAGGATTTCAGCAACCATACTATGAGAAACACTTACGACATAGATCATGAAACCAATTGTGAGTAGTTCGGCGCCCTCCTTACGCATCTTCCTACGATCCTTCTGCATCAGACCGACAATGAGAGTTCCAAGGTTTTCATCATCGTCATCATCGGCGTCTTCCACTGAAACTTTGTACTGAGGATTCGTCCAGAAAGTGTCTTGGTAAGTTAAAATATTCAATTAAAAGAAAAAAAGAGTAAGAGAAATGTAAGAAAGAGGGCTTTTCAATGAAAAATAACGTCTCGGCTAAAAGTCTACAGGATGTCACGAATTCAACGAATTCTGCTAAAAAATCTAAATGTTTTGGGTGTAAATCCAAACTAATCTGTCTATTAAGATAAACGATAAAGAGATGCAATCATGCTTAAGGGTTAGTATAAATGTTCTCATAATTTGATAATTAGAACTTATAATCCTACTCAAAGCTTTTGTTCTTTCTGAAGATGCTCGACGCATGAGCGTGTTTATGGCCTATCTCGTTGGGCCCATCAACAATAAGGACATTTTTTCTGAGTCAACATTCTGTCTTCTTGCAGACAGATTTTTTCATGGTATTCTAGATGAATCATGATGTACTTCAAAGTAAACTATGCACTGCTTTCAATGCTATTTATACCCGATTTAACCTCAGTGTACATTTGAGGGATAAAGCGAAATGGCAAAAATCAGATATCAGGAATAACTTTAATCCACTCCGGTGTTGTAGCATGCTATGAAAGAGTATTGCACTGGAATGACGAATATTTAATAATTTCCAAAAATGGCATCACTAACTATGGTGAAAAATCAAATCCAATGGGCTTGGAAATAAGCAGATATTGAAGCGACCTACCGAGGAAGTTACGGCAGCCACCGGCATTGACACCAGGCGTCCAACCACCATGATCAACAGTCATTTCGAAGGCCACCTTTTTGCGGCTTTCGTCCATGGTGAGAGATTGTGGGCCCAAGGCGCACATTTCAACCTTCTCGAATTCTCGCACAAAGTCGTCGTAGCACATCCTAGAGAGGTTGAAAATAAACAAATATTTAAAATTTTACAATGCAAAATTGGGATTTGGGAAAATAGGTCCAATTTAAAGATAAACAGTAGTTAATAACAAAGGTCATGGAAAGTATCTTTTATCTACTAATTAACCGCAAAAATTATTAATCTCTTAGGAACAATGACCATCAAGTAAGTTGAATGAATTTCTGTGCCAAACTTTAAGTCAGAAATTCAGGAGTCAACTCTTGTTTCTTAGCCTCTTTTAATCTATTAATTATTATCGAAGAAATGCCCATTTGAAATGTATATCTATTTCTCATGCAAGAGATTCCCCGATTTGCCAATTACATACATAACAATAAATCGATAACGAGCAAAAATATTCAATCAAAGGCACAAAATCAGCAACTAATTATTGCTGCACATGCCAACGGTTCCTTTATACACCCCAGATTCTTAATCACATTTGGCAGAATTTTGATCAGATTTCCATTGTTTTCAAAAATAGCTACTCAATTTAAGAATCTGCAAAGTGGATGTATCCAATTGACTAGAAGTTCCGGAACTCAAATTGGCATTGGTGGCTAAGCTCACATATTTGTACAATGCCGAGAGCCAAACCTATTTAGATTAAAACAACACACAACCGCCTAATTGTCTACTTGGCGCCACTTGATAGAAAATAGTTGTTCATATTTATTCGCACATGAGGCGAAGCAAAACTTAGCGAATTTCTAATTTTGCTCAAATTGAAATGATATTTCCCTTCGCAACTAATTAATTTAATCCAGCAATTTACTCGAAATTTGCAACTGGGACGAAAAAATCAACCGATAAATCTTTAATTAACTTCTCATTTGTAATTGCGTGAATTAACATATTCGTGCTTGCCTTAGCGCATACGCACGACCAAACTTCCACAAATTGCTGCGGTGCAATCGGTCGATATTAATTTGTAATTATCGCACTGACCAATCAGCTACTTGGTTGAAGCGCTAGACACGCATGGACACGCACGCACAAATACACGCAACGCACGCAGAAAATGAACAAATGTTGCACAAACAAGTTGACGCGTACTTTTTGAAGCCTACTTGACTTTACCTTGCCTTATACAAAAAAACAGGAATGCCAAATATAAAGACGAATAGGTCTACTTTAAATGGTAACCACAACACTTTTCTAATGAGGTGTAATAAAGTCCATAGAGTGCACTAAGAATATAGTAAGTACTTAAGGTACTTTGGGTGTGGGAAACTGACCTTAATGAACTTAATATTGAACGTGTGGTCAATTACAGGGTCTTAGATATTATGCATCGCTGGTGAAAGTCCGTTTTTTCCCCTCGGTAAAACTAATAGATTAGTAAGAGTAGCTCAACCATGCTGGACAAGATCACGTGATTAGACAGACATAGTCAGACTATGGCATACAGGCTACCACGTAGCACAATTAATCACATACACAGGAATTAACTCCATCTGGGGTTTGCTTACCAGAATTCACCATCAGCTTCAACAGTGAGACCAAGTCCTCGGCGTTCAGATGATGAAATTGAATTCCACTCTGATGAACGATCACTCCATGGGCCGTTCCACTCGGCTTCATTTCCCCATGGATTACGAATTCGAATCAGTTGAACTTTCCCATTTCTTGTATTAACCTATCAAATAAAAACGAAGTAAAAATGGAATAATTTGCTTTAATTTAAGAGAACACTGATGAATGCCCGATGAAGCATAAAACTACAAATAAAAGGAGAGTTCAATACAACAGATGTTTGGGTTAGGAAAGCAAACTTTCCGCAATGTGATGATAAAGAGCCATTATGACTAATAATTTATGACAATGTTTCGCCTTTCGTTACCCTGTAATAATACGGTACTTCAACCTGTAATTAACAGATCAATGAATCGACATTATAAAATAAGTAAATTGAAACTGGTAGTGAACTGATCAAGCTGATTCTACTTTTCTCAAGATTTTACCTCAGCAACACTGGTAATCGAATAGGCATGACCCTTGATCAAGCCATTTGGTTGTCTGGCTTCAACAACTTGCGGGTCGGCACTAATAGAACATGACATGAGAGTTTGGCGAGCGAAGGATTTGGCAAGGATCTTGGAGAAATCCTTGGGCTCTTTGCCACGAAGATCGTAAAATTCGGCCAGACCACCAGTGAAATCTTCTAGAGCTTCAATTGTGCTACCTCCACGAAGGGTCTCGTAAGATCCAAAGAGCCTAGAAAAGGAAGAAAGGAGGTGAATTTAAATTAAAAAGCCCCATTGGAATGAGCGGATGAAAGAATAGCTACCCACCCCAACCCTCCCTCCCTCAAATGAGGGTTACTCAAAATTACTTTACCACCTGCTTGATAATTTAAACCATTGAAGGCGAAATTAGTTTTGTGCTTGATTTTTTCCTTAACTGAGCGAAACGGTAGGTTACCATAACCGACTTGACTGGGTTACTTTAAACAAATCCGCTTAAAGACTTGTGATGCAAACTTTCGTTCCCCACAGGCTTTTTTTCCCTTTCTTCGCACCCTCGTTCCCAACTCACCCCAATTACGACGAGTATAATTTGGTCTGTTGGAAGTTTTGGGTGATCCATTATTTGTGCAGTGGCACCTACTACGCCACTGGTGATTCTCAATTCGCATTGCAACATGTAGCCTTCGAGTTTCTCAACTGAAACGTTTTGCGATTTCTTTTATAAAGCACTTTCAGTCTATGCTAACATTGTCAATAAATTTTCAAATAAAATTACTAATCATATGATTTATAAATCTACCCAAAACTTCTGGGGCCATTAATGTTGAGAGAACTGAACAAGTTTACTATACATGAAGGTAATGAAAGTACAATAATTTTATATTACAATGAAGTTTCAGTATGTATAATCCGTAATGAACTGCGTAATTTAATAGGAATGATAACATTGTCGATCAGATTTAATTATTTTGGTACTTAGATGATGAAGTCGTGTAATGCCTATTTGAAAATAAATAAAAATGTATACACCGTTTTTTGTAGAATATATTTTCTCGTTGAATTTGAAGGCACGCGCATTTATGGATGAGACAGATTTTCTGCTGTGTCATTTGGAAAAGTGAGCAATGAATTCAACAATTATGCTATATCACACTATAATTTAAGAAGAAAAGGGACCTTTCATAGTTTGGCCATCTTTAATCGAGTGCCCATTATCAGTGGCATTTCGGATCCGGTGAATGTGAATCATTTATGGGAGTATCAAAAGCCCTTAGACCCTTAAAGAGAAAAGCTCCTTCACCAGCTTTTCGTGTGAAAGATAAGTTACAGCTTGTTTCCAGACACTCTGTTGGACATAAAATATACTTCCAGAATCCTTCTATTGATTAACATTAATTACTACAACCTGTCAGGTATCAATGAGCACTTAATCCATGATCTGATTAAGTGAACTTCTTTTGCAACCGACACGCTAAGACACACGATAAAAAGTTAAGAGACAAGGCGATTGACATCATTGCATTCAAGCTGCATTAATTCGCATGGATGACGACTTCATCTGTTTCAACATCAAGTAGACTTAATATTTGCTGGCGAAGAGGGGTTAAAAGATTCAACTTTTGGCATGATAGTTTTTTTGCCAAATATTTGCAAAATGATATCATGAGAAAGAAGTCTCAGGCTTAAAATTAATGAGATTTGAAATCTCAAAAGTAAATTATATCAGAAGTAACAAGGAGAAATGCAAGTTTTATCAGACGACACGAACTCAAAGTCCATTGGGACTTATATTACTCGATCTAAATAAGAAAAATAACGAACAAAACGTACTTGGCATAGGCCTTCTCAAGCAACGCAGACCAGAATTCATCCTGGTCAACAGAGTGCATGAAGATGAGACTTCCATTGCGGGTGGGCAGACGATCGTCAATGACAACTTCAACCCATTCACCGAAACGCCAGAAGACGAAACGGAAAGCTCCACAGTAGCTGGAGCAGTTAAACTCCTGATTTGGAGGGATGACTTGGTTCAGCAGATCTTCGTACATAGCCAAGTTGGCAACGGCAGCCAACAACCAGCAATCACCTGAAAAAACAAAAAAATTACTTAGTTGGTAATGGAATTTAAGTGGTCTCGCCTTTAACTGGATATATAGTTATTTGCAATTTAAGAAAATACACTATATGTCTTCATTCCTGTGATAGTGGTTACGGCTTATAACTCTAACTACCAGATACAGAGCTCTTAAGGCATGAATTTGAGGTGAGTATACGAACATTGGACTAAGCTTTTTCTTACTTCTCCTCCTTTTAATCATTCCATTTAAATATTATATGAAAATTTTATATTTATTTTAGATTTACGTTACGATTAACAACCATCCTATGTATCTTACTCGTAAGAAGTACGAAACAATTACTCAAAGTGCTTTGAGGATTGGGAAGTGTGTTCAGATCGGTAATGTCTGAGCTTAGTAAAATTAATCAATGTACTTAAAGCTGAAACAATTGAACGCTTATTGGATTTGCGGTTAATTATTTTAGAAAAAAATATTAGTCATACACACTTCGAGTACATCCCATCAAAGAGGATGCTAGTACAATTGAATGATCAACGATTTTTGTATCAGTTTCTCGCTAGCAGTTGTTGTTTAGACGGTAATTTTAATACCATAAATTTTCCAAATGAATTTGTAAAAATTTCAAGAATAATACTACTTTGTAACGCTACATAGTTGACACAATAGATTAAATAATAGGCGTGAAGAGGTAAACAATGCCAATTTCTCTTTAGGTTGTTATGGCTTCAAAAAATTATTCCCAGATATCTATTCGTGAATGAGAAATAGGGATATTCACAAGAATAATCATAAAAGCAGATTCGGCTTAACTGACTCATGAATTACTTTGTTGAAATTTCAAAGTCTATACCCTTAGTAATGAGCATACACATAGCTACCATTCACGTCTGAACATCAAGCCATGGTCATAAATTTTTCCAACGGTCTTTGGTCCGGATTCCAGATCATAGTGAAGACAAATGCAGCTTGCACATGCACACAGAGTTTCTGTTCCTACTTCCCACACGCATAACACTCAGAATGCCGCAGAGTGAGACTTGGCAACACATGTAACAACAGTGGCGAGAGAGAGAGAGAGAGAGAGAGAGCGAGAAAACGCATACATAATTAGATAATAAGCTTTTCTTCTCTCTGCATACTCCTCTAACATTCAGAAAAGATGTCTATTGATTATTCTAAATTTTGATAAAACTATAAGCTTCTTTGAGTCATTCATTATTGCACAAGATATTCCCACAGGTGTAAATAGATACCGTTTAGAATGATGAACCTTAAAATCATCTAGAATTTCATATTCAGTGGGAAATGTAAATAGCCTAAAACAACTTTGGATTTTCATGCGCTTTAATATCAAAATTAAACATACCAAGTTCACCCTGTCGAACATCGAAACGGCTTCTGCCACCGGAAATGAATTTCGGGTCACGGCATATTTCCTAGAATGAAAAATATACAATAAAGATATTTAAATTTAAAGTTTAAAAACAAAAGCCCCAACAAAAGCGACTCAAAGACCAGATGAAATAGAAATTATTTATGCGCATTTTTTCCAGAAACATACTAATCCCCTACATAATGAACCAAGGAAAGATGGGAAATACTAAACCTAGTAGAACAAGGTACTTGATATTTCAATACCGATAAGTCTGTATTTGGATCAGAATAAAAAGACAAAATAAAAGCTAGTTTACTTTCAGGAATTTGCAAATAATGTTTCCAACACATCCGTTATTTATTACAAGAAGATAAGTTCTGCCTAACATAAAATAAAAGAAACTGTAAATTAAACAATAAAGTTATAAGAGTTATTGTTAATGGAACAAGAAATCAATAAACCAAAAAATTAGAATTAATTTTAGTTTAATAAAACTGATATTTTATGAGTTAGGAACTTGTACACTTTAATAGACAAGAGAGCGAATAATAGAAATTAAAAAATGTTGCTTTTGTGAATCACAATTCTTTATAAATCGTATAGTACTAAAGTATGTAGAGCTGCAATGATAAGATTAAGAGGTACAGAGAATGAACAAAATTTCGGAGAATCATATAAATAGTCAACGATTGAAAATTACACAAAAATGGAAATATAACACAATTTTCTGTGACTAATGACTGTAGTCTAATTAATAAGTAAGTTGTGCAAGGAATAATTTGACCAATAGGTGCTCCAGGCGCACCTGCTACATTTGAAAGAAAGTCAGAAAAAATTATTAAATCCCTATTTTAAGAAGCGGTGGACAAAAATATTAACAATATCTGCAGTATGAAATAATATTCTGGCTAAATTTACAGTCGGACGCTTCCATTCAATTCCACGAGGAGCATTCATTGAATAAAAGAGTGAGGAACCATCAGCAGGAAAATCTGGATCTTCAAAAAGTCTCCCAGTGCCTCTAAGACGATCTCTTATTTCGTCGTATGTCATTCCCTTTGTGGAGATCTGACCACCGGTGGAAGAAGGCACAGGATGACGACGAGAAGCTCCGGAATCGGAATCGAGAGCAACACGATTATTTTGCCTGTTACGAACGGCCGTCCGGGGGTCTTGATAACGTCCAAACTTTACGCTTCCGGGAGCAACATTGAAACCAATTTTGCCGAGGAGTGGCGTGTCAACACCCTGTAATTTAAGTCAAATACACTTAATCAACTTATACTTATTCTTAAGATAGTATCTTAATTAAATAACATAGGGAGGTAAAGATACAAAGAGTGAAACATACGGCAAAAGTTGAACGATTTCCATATTCATCAGTTGTTGTCATAATTGAGGGCTTCAAAGTAATTCCTACACTACTCAAAAAATTCTGGGCACCTTGTAGGCTAACCATGTCCTTATATGCAGAAATTAATCAGTACTTATAGGTAAATAGAGGATCTGATTCGTTAATGAAAGTGCACTGATCGCGCGCGACCTTCACACTAAAAAACACGGGTTTATTGCTCAATATAATGTCCGCATGTTAAATGTATGTGGAACACTTAAACAAGTATCCTGTATTGAATAAAATGAAAATAATTTAAACCTTATATTAAGTTTCATTTCAAAAATAATTATTTAAGAAATAAAACTTAATCTTTCGGAACACATTGGATTTGGCATTTATTTAAATTTCACTATTTCTGCTTCTTAAAGTGGAAGCACTTTTCAAACTAGATTTCTTAGGCAATCACTAAGATAAAATATTATTTCAATTTGGAAATTTTGAAAATAAACTTTACCGAAGGATCTTATTAATAGAAAAATTTACTTTTCAAGTTGTTTATGCAACGAAATGTAGCTATAATGGAAGGAAATTTGATAGAAAATAAGATAAAGTTAAGCTCATGAATCAAATTCATCTCCCAATTCAAGACTCCAGGTAAAAAGATATTCTTCAATGCGGCTTCTAAGTTTTTTCAAATTTATTTAATCGATAATATTAATTTTATTGCTGTGGCACGTTCCCTTCCCAATAATCACAATTAAATATTTCTTTTATTGCTATTCGAATTTTCTTTCAAGAGCGCATTCTTTATTCCATGATTTTTGACTTATTCACTTCGTTAAGCTGTATTCTCCTATCGGTTGAGTTGACTGCAGAACGTGGGAAACGGGGTTTAATATTTTAGTAAACCATGAATCCTCTATGGAGTAAACGACTCACCTGATATATTGGCTTCTTCGCTCTCACTCTGGTTGGGGCTCACATGTTCAAGCTTCTCGTTGGCCATTCTTTACCCATATTGGCCTTGATGATTGCATTGTCCTCTCTACGGGATGGTGAGGTACTACGATTAATCTACTCCAAGAGCAACGTACAGCGTAGTACAATAACCTACTCTTCAATTGTTAACACGTGCGCACTTCGAGTACTCACTTAACACCAAACTACCTCTAATGATTTAGTCACTGCATCGAGAATTAATTGAATATACTGTCAATGATTTTTAGAGGACTTAATGCATGGAAAAGTAAATTGGTGATGTAGAAATAAGTCAGAATTAAATTTTTAATTGTCCAGAATTTCATCATTGGTAATGACACTTGATCAATTTAGAATTCGTTGGATAACAAAATTTGTGCGCAAATACCTGGTTGAATTTTTCATCGTCTAGTATCTCAACCAAGATAGATGAAAGATTTCGCCTTGATAATGTGCAAACGCTAAATGGACAACTTTAACAGATACCATTGCCATTGCGTACTTGACAAAACTTTCCATTCCCTTATGGGAATTCTTCAGTTTTTTGCCTTTCAATGAAGCAAAAAGGCAAAAACAATTTCGAAATCGTAGTCCTGGTGTCTATTAGCTACACTCTATTTGCCAAGCTGACCTAGTTTTAGCAAAACTTTACAAACTCTAATTAATATGATAAAAGATTGCAATAAATGGTGTATACCAGGTGTAATAATTCCCACCTCAATCGGATATATCTGAAATAAGTTTTAACAGTTTAATTATTGCTAAGTAGCAAAGGAGATTTTGTTAATCACCAAAATAAATGCTTCACGGTGTACTTCCTTAACTATTTGCAATAGTCAGTATATAATGAACTTTTCTACATCACTAAGCATTGTTGATTAACCAAATATTTATTTATTTATTTCAATTGGCAGGCATATTTATAGTCATCATTCGCCCTTTAGCTGACTTCGGACTTCACAGAGGGAGGGGGGACAACATAGTGAGAAAAAATCGATAGTCACATAGGCAGAGAAAAGGTAAGATGAGTATTGTTGAAGTGGTCGAATTTAACATACAGTTGGGTCATGGTAGTTTAGTGTTTAATTTCCCTCAACTGGGGCTACTTAAAGCCACACTTTCATATTAGGTAGGCAAAACTTGACAAGGGTGGGAACTCATCTAAAAAATCCCATTTTCTCCCCGTTATTCATCAGGCTGCCCATTCTATTTTCTTTCAATCTTCACCTCACCTGCAGGTTAGGTGGAGCAACTGGATGGCTCAGGGCGGTGATAGAGACTTGCTTGTGTGTGAAAGTGGGGGTTGGAAATGGGGATTTGGTGTGTGTGTGTGTGTGTGTGAACATGGGTTTATTTGTAAAAGAGAAAAATGCATTTTCTTTCATGCAAAGGAGTTGGGATTCATTCGTGAATCCTTGGAAATAGTTCTAGTGTACTTTGGGACAGTGTACTTACAACTGGTCGATTAGCGATTTGGGTTGAGTCTTTGTAACATTAATGTTTGCCGATGCACATGACAATGTGCACCTAAGTGAATAGCCTGGAAGCATTTAAGTGCATGGAGAAAAATTAAAACTTAAACAAAAAGATTTCATCAATTTGTGAATAAGCGAACCACTACAAAATTAACTTGGGGAAACTAAATTTGAATGATTACACATCAAGGCGTTATTCACTGATGAAATGATTGATTTCTTGGTCCTCTACATCACAAAACACGCAGTTCAACGATCTTGTCTGTTACATGCGTGAAATAGAATTTGAAATATGAAAATATTCCCAAAAATTCTAATAATTAAAGTTACTTACAATGGCATGTTGCCCTCGATAGTCTGTAAATAGCCTGTAAAACTATTCTCTCTCTCTCATTCTCTAATAATAATAATAATAATAATAATAATAGTAGTAGTAATAATAAAATCTTATTCTTTTAAATGAGATTTCCCATTTTTAATGCAACATTCCTTATCAAGAAAAAAGACATGAAGATAAGTTTAAAGAATATGCATAAGGCTGGTTGTTGTGGAAAGCTGGGAAAAGGTAATTTTTATCAGCGGATCACTGCATAGCTTCACTTTCGGGTGCGCGATAGACTTACCTCCACGTGGTGCACCATTTGCAACGCATATTCATGCGGCAAATAAGTCTATAAACTGGCAGTTGACTTCTGACTTCAGACTACCATTGCCTCACTGTATGTCATATTCGATCGCTTTCACAGTACTCACCTTACCTTACCTTACTTTACCTTTTTCCTTACCATTGTGTCTGACTCTTTTGCATCTGTGAATAAGTCTTCTGTTCCTTTCTCCACCTTTCATGACTTCCATTTGATATGAATAAATTCAATTAAACTTTTGTTGGGTGATTTATTTAAGTATCGGAATCATAGCGACCACTGGAGCAAGCTGGTGAGGGCATGTCCTTCGTCTTATTCGCCACAAGATTCTTCGTTTAATTTTATCTTATCTGTTTTATGAAATTTATTTGTCACGATAACTTTTTTGAGCTTTAGTCTTAGAGTCTTGAAAAGACAATGTCAATTACAAAGTCTTACTCTGCCACGCTCGCACCTCTTTCTTGTTTTCATATTTGACGGGATGACAAATTTTCTTTACGCTTAAAATAACATTTTTCGTCATTTATTACTTTGAGAAGTCTGGAAAATAATAAAAAGGAAATCTACGACGATTTTAGTTTGGTCAATTTTAGTTAAGTTAAGGGTGTTGATCATTTGTAAATATTTATTTATTTATATTAAATGGCAGGCGTTTTGATAGTTTTAATTTGCCATTTAGTTGACATCAGGTTTCACAGAGAGGAAGAAACATCAAAGTGAAGAAAGTTGAGTGTGGGTGGGGGGACAGAAGAGTGTTTCAAAGATGAAAAAGAGACAGACACAAAGGTAGAAAATGTGAGGTGAGTACTGTGGAAGTGGTCGAATATGACATACAGTGGGGTGATGGTAGTTTGAAGTCGTATGGGTATATGTTGCCCAGGGTGTACCACGTGGAGGTAAGTCTATCGCACACCCCTCATTAGCAAATATTAATAGGTTTGTAGCGGACTGCTACACTAGTAAAGCTTTGACCGACTCAAAAATCCCTCTAGAGCAGTATCTCCCATATCAGGCTAGACTCTCTGAACTAGCCAAGCTGCAGCGAAGCTAGGGAGGAAAGAGACGAACGTATAGCAATTTCTGAAATCGGCAAATCAAATCAATCTAACATAATTTGAGTGAACATTAACAGTTAAAGATCTGAGTAGAGCTCTACGTGTATGGCCGCACACTCCAAATCCTGGCGTGTCTCATAAGGTTCAATTGGGCGCTGTGGTTGCTGCTATTTGAAATACAGATACAGGTTGTATTGCTTTCTTTTGAGTAACCTGTCGTATTATTGCAAGAAATCATTATACTCATTCAAAATTGTTGTTTTAACTTCAATTTTCAACTTTAAGTTGGAACTCTGTAAAATACTTTTAGAACTATTGTGCGTACTTTTGACAAAGTTCATGAAAAGTAAAGGTTAAAGTAGAAAAAAAGCGAAATGGATATTCAATGGCTTTGAATTAGATTAGTGGGGCTAATATGTGTAATGAATTTATTCTTCATCTGCCCATTTAATCCATATTGCAACCATCTCCCAGCTTCCATTACCCTGGAAACAGGCAAGTTAAATAAGCGAATGCTATAAAATCGCTCCTGACCTACGTTGATTTAAGCTTAAGTGTTTTTAGTCATCTCTCCTGCTGGTAGATGCCCGACAATTATCCTAGGCGACCCATTGTGTTACCTATCCCTATTTTTTGCAATGTCCTTGTAGCAATGATATGGGAGTGGGGTTTCCCCTTTGTAGGGGAAGTTGAGCTACACTGAGTGGGAAAAAACAAAGGGAGCGGAAATACGAAGTAGCAAAGGGAAATAGTGCAAGTCAGGGGGGATTGACACTGATCTCTCTTATAAAAGTACAGGTGCTTGGAAAAAGGAGATGAAGAATAGCGAGTACCTGTGGCTTAAAACGTCTTCCCTTTTGGGATTTGTAATAATCTAGTGACTCTCTAGTTGGCCAATAACTGATGTAATAATTGATTAAGTGTGGGTCACACATAACCAGTTATGTGGGTAAAAAATATTATCAATAAACCTGTGAAGGAGGAACCGTCTTTTTAAGTTTGACTTGTGATAATTTTGCTGCATAAATTAATTGCCAGTGAGCAGAAAGTAAATAAGGAAGGCCTAACGCTGTGGATTTTGCAAAATTCCCTGAATAGTTGGAAGACGTGGAGGGAGTCATAGTGTAATCAAAATAATTAAGTTAAAACAACCGTGGCAGGAAGTGTGTGGAGTTGGCTTGAAGCGTGCATGTCGATATGGATCCTGAAGCAATAATTCAATCGATCGCAATCAGACTTCAGAGATAGTTCCGATTTACTAACAAACTAGTTTAAAACCTCAACAAAATTTTCAAACCCTAATATAATCAGCTCATCGTTCTTAATTCGATTATAAATTTCAATTATCAGCTACTTTATAGATAATAATCATTCGACAGCTCCTCTTTCCGACCAAGTGACTGGTAAATGCAGAGCTAATGGAAATACTATAATGACAATTTTGTTCCTGGTGTTTATTCTTTTTTATTTTTGTGTTATTCTAATGTTACATTACAAACGCTACCAAGTCTGAAGAAATAAATCTCATGCGTTCTCGAACAATCGGAGAGATGCGACCGTGGTGCTGAGTGATTCACCTTTCATAAGTTCAAATTTGTCAAGGAAATCGGAAGTTATCATTCAATATCGAGTTATAATGCGAATGAGCGAGAGATAAGTCTTCATCTGATCGATATACATGGGAAAATGAGATTTGCACTCTTCATAAAGGAATTCAACTCAAATTTTCCTCTTAAAAGTACGCTGTTCTTACTTCTCATCTAGATCTTCTCTCGTAAGTATTTCTACTTACTCTCCACTCTCTTAAAATATCAACGAGCGGGAATTAGGTGCACTTTATCAATAGCAAACCTTGGAGCTAAATGCGTTATTGATGTTCTTGTGAGATGTGTTGGCATTGGCATTACCTGGCTTGATACTCAGAGACTGAAATGGACGGCGAAACTAGTCTCTTGAAGACAACCGTAAGTGGACCAGCTCATAAAAGTATTAAATAAAATGCAGTCAACGATGCACTCGGAATACGTTGGCTAAAATAGTGATAGGCAGAGGAATTTCAGAAATTGTAATCAATTTTTCCCTTCCATCTATTATTCATCCTCAATAATTAAATAACCATATATCCTGAAATCTGCTATTATGTTTTAATTCGAAATAATTTACAAATATTCAAATAATGTGAAAAAATTTTGGTCTGATGGAAATTAAGATTTATGAAATTATTTACTTACATATCTAAGAATGTTGTATTATGATATGAAGATTTAAAATGAGTGTAAAAATTATGAAATAATAAAAATATTATTCACAGTAAGAAATAACTTTAATAATATCAATCCATTAGCAATTTTATTATATGTGTGAATAGTGTGCGCACAATTAATGGTTCTCGTTTTATCTTATTAATTGACGCTCACAGAACCCTCGGGTTCTTCAAAACTGTCAACTGTATTTAATTAAACCAAAAGGCCTTTGACAGGTCCCTATATTAAATTGCTAATTATTTTTTCTGTTCAAATCGCTATTTTGAAGACTCAGATAACAAGATGTAATAGTTATTCATAGTTTGCACTCGAATAGAAGACCTCCTATGAGGGGCTTGAGATTTCCATTTTGCGTTTGCCTTCCTGTATGATTCCCGTCCACAATCGCTATCTCGGTCGCACAGTTAAATGACACAACTTACGTTCGTTAGAGTCGCTCGCCCGACATATATTCAACAAGGTCCTCGTTTACGGCTGAAACCTTCAGACGTAAACCTCAGTAAGGCCAATATACTAAGTCTCGAATTCTTGCTCCATCCACTAATCAAGTTCACTAAATTTAACGCAAATATCTCAGCGTTACTATTATCGATTTATTACCTCGAAGCGTTAATTGTTCAGATGAAAAGATCTTATTTACAAAAGGCATTTTGTTTCCTTACAAAGTACACGAACGAAGGGAGTACATATTTGAAGATAGGGGAGAGGGATGGGGGGAGGGGGAGTCGGGGTTATTTGCCTCTAATTTCGCATAAACAGCTGTGATCGAAAGTTGAACAAAAACATTTATACACAAGGGCGACGGATATGGGGAGATACCTCTTCTGTGCAGGGCTTACAAGCAATAAAATGCAAACATACATATTTAGTAACATAACGAAGAGGTAGGAAAGGAAGCAAGAAGCCACGAAGATAGAAGAGAAAAACGTTTCAAAACAATATCTTTGTAGAAAAAATGAGATAGAAAAGGTCGGGAGGTAGCAGATCTATCCAAACGAGAGAACTAGAGGGCCGACGCGTGCGGCGAGTGATTGAGGCAAGAGGTGACTGTGATCAAGGCAGCTAGATCCGACCTCACTTACATCCTTCGAGTTTGGAACGCTAGCATTTGCTGAAAGCAGGAGAAAACAATGGAAGTTAATTAGATTTCAACCCTCATACTTTCATTCAAAACCTTAAAGTCATATAACTGTGGTGTGCTATTTGCGCCCTTAGAGACATAGCAATGGAAATATGATTGCAATTATTAAAATAAAGAGAGACTTCCTGAATAAATTTTCACAAGTTGTTCCTGCTTAACCGCTTTTATGATCCGAGCAAATATTTCCTAGACAATCAATATAAATAAGTCAGGTCTTATCGCCATAGCTCCGTTGGCACTTCTACCACAACAACGACTACAAACTCAAATAATTGTTCACCACAGCCCTATCGTCTTTTAACTATTACAACTATCTTTGTACAACTCCGACGTTTTAATTTTCTACCAGCTCCCAACTTGGCTCTTCAGCGAGCTACATTCTATCAAAAGTCACTTCTTATTTCCGTTTTCCAACTCACACTCTTTCCGATAAATCTTAGTAAAGTGCAACAATTACTACACCCTTAGTCTTCTTATTACCTCACATACCATGACATTTAATAAACCTTTTGTTATAACTACTAGCCTCCAAAATAGCCCCCCCCCCCAATGCCATGAACTCAATAATACCACGTTACTAAGTGACATTGTGCCATTTACTCAAGAGTATGCAGAGCAGCAACCTTGTACTGCAGCGCTCCCTAATAATAATGCAAACTTTATGAATGATTAGCAATATGCCAGTAACAAATCGTGCTAGATTGAATCCAGGTATGGAGATATTTACTTCTCAAATTTTTGCATAAAAGGTCCCCATTTTTGAGAAAAGCACTCATAATTTTCTCAAAATATCGAAATATCCACCATTTGTTACGAAAGCAAAGACTTTACTACATTGGCCTTGTAAAAATGTCAGAATAGGAGCAGTAGAGGAGGAACATAGAAAGAATGATACAATGCACAAGGCTATCCACTAGTCCGTAATCAAGCTTACAAAATAGACGTTATTTTCATAAAAAAGGCGAGAAATAAAATTACAATGACATTAAGGAGAGAAGGAATTAATAATTGACATGCTTGCACCTCATACTTGTCAGTAAATGCTTGCTCGTCATTTGATAAAGCTACGATCCATCGAACTCTGCAATTTACCCAAATAGTATAGTGACACAGTCATTTAATTTACCATATTTAAATAAATAGGCACACTACATGAATAATCGACAGGATTATTGTTGACTTATTTCTTCTTGGATAAAGGTATCCATGTTTATCTAACACCTACAATATAACCTGTACCCTTAAGCTTCGATGTAGGAGACACTAATTCGTCAAAATAACACCGACAACACAGGTGAAAGAACAAATGTTCAACAACTCACCCCACCACTTGTTGTCGCTCCAGCTGCAGCGCTTCGAGAAAAATGTGCGCTTTGAGTTTGTTGTTGTTTTTGTTGTTGCTGGGGGGAAGGATTGTGATGGTTCAAGTACATATCCACATCATCCACTTCGAAACCAGAGGAAGACTCCGCCTCCAAATTGGCTACAGCAGCCGCCGCTTCTGCAGACGCGTCACTGTTAAAGAGAAACTCATCAGTCATTGCAGCACTACTTCTCTCTTCTTGCTCATTCGAAACCTCAGCTTCTATTGGAAGTTCTCGAGGCAAAGAATCCAAGGAAGTAGCAGGGGGAGACAGTGTAGTGGGGATAGAAGCAGTGGCGGGCAATTGACGGATAAAGTTTGGCCGTTGTTGTTGTTGTTGGAGTAAGGGTTGACTAGGAAGCACTGTGAGACCAGACTATAATGGGTAAAATATGGAGTGGAAGGATCAAATAAACATGGCAACAGGTGGTGAAAAGGTACTAATAAATATTTACATAATCCAATGATAAACACCTTCGAAATCCAATTACTGCAAGGGTCAAAGGCATTTGCTAACACTGATAAAATAAGAATGTCTGCAATTGTTAGAATTAGTCAAGATAGCAAAACTTGAATTTCTCAACCCAGAGATGAGTGCTGAGAAAGTGTCTCACCTCAAGAGATTTAAAAATCTAACGAAGAGTTAGAGGCATTGTCGTGAAGTGTGCCAGCCACTGAAGCACACATTTCGCCAGATATCGTTATATTGGTATAGCAAGTGACCACTAACGTTCAAGTCAATCAACTATGAGCGCCTTGATTAGAAACATTCAATATTATACACAGTAAATAGATATGAGTTTGCGAGAATCTTACAAAGACTCCTTTTAAGAAGCTATTCCTTAATATTATAAAACATCGGACAATATCTGTAACACGGGGTGTGCGATAGACTTACCTCCACGTGGTGCACCCTGGTGGGTGTGCGATAGACTTACCTCCACGTGGTGCACCCTGGGAAACGTATACTCATACGGTAAAAAGTCTATTAACCGGAAGTTTGTGTGCGATAGACTTACCTCCACGTGGTGCACCCTGGGCAGCGTATTTTCTTACGGCAAAAAAGTCTATCACTCGGCTTTCGTTATATTCATACGGCAAAAAGTCTATTAACTGGCAGTTAACTACGATAGACTTACCTCCACGTGGTGCACCCTGGGCAACGTACTTTCTTACGGCAAAAATTCTATCACTCGGCATTCGTTTTTCAATAGACTTACCTCCACGTGGTGCACCCTGGGCAACGTATAATCATACGGCCATACGGCAAAAAAAGTCTATTAACTGGCAGTTGACTTCTTAAAAAAGTCTATTATTCGGCAGTTGACTTCTGACTTCAAAGCGGCAAAAAAGTCTATAAACCGGCAGTTGACTTCTCACTATCGGCAAAAAAATTCTATTAACCGGCAGTTGACTTCTGACTTCAACGCAAAAAGGTCTATTAACTGGCAGTTGACTTCTCACTTCACAAAAAAGTCTATTAACCGGCAGTTGACTTCTGACTACTCAAACGGCAAAAAAGTCTATAAACCGGCAGTTGACTTCTGACTGCATGTGGCAAAAAAGTCTATTAACTGGCAGTTGACTTCTCACTTCAAGCTACCATCACCCCACTGTATGCCATATTCTACCCCTTCCACAGTAATCATTTTCCTTTTTCTCTGCCTCTTTTACAACTATAAATCATTCTACTGTTCCCCACCCCTCGACTTTCTGTTACT